GAGGGCCTGAGGCTCTCTTCCTGCTGTCCCCAGGGAAGGGGGGTCCAGAGTTGCTGCCTGGACCAATAGGAACTTCTGGAGGCCCTGGCAAAGCAACATGGGTGTCCCCCACGGGGAGCCCGAGTCCCACCCCTGGAGTGGCCCTGAGGGGGCCTTGACACGGCTCTGCCCTTCGAGATGTGGATGGCCCAGCCGGTGTGGTTCAGTGGTTGAGCATCAGCCCATGAACCAGGAGGTCACGGCTTGATTCCCAGTCAGGGCACAGGTTGTGGGCTCGATCCCCAGTAGGGGGCGTGCAGGAGGCAGCGGATTAATGATTCTCATCGTTGATGTTTCTGTTTCTCTCTCCCTCTCCCTTCCTCTCTGTGAAATCAATAAAAACATTAAAAAAAAAAGAAGTTTAGAGGAATGGACCAAGAACCCAAAGGTCATGGAGGGTGCCGGGGGCTGTGGGGCAGGAGGAGGGGCAATGGGGGAAGGCCTCCCAGAGGGGACATCCATCAGTCTCATGGAAGGGGCAAGCGTTTGTGGGTGAAGATGAAGATGGTTGAGAAGGGCACTGCAGGCAGCAGCGAGGGCACAGAGAGTATCAACATGTGGACGTGAGGTGGGGAAGGGAGTCAAGAACATCCAGTTAAAAAAAAACAGAATATACAGTTTAGTCTGGATGGAGGACAAAGCTCAAGAGGGGGGCGGGGCCAGATCACGGAGAGCCTTGAATGCTGTGCCCAGGAGGTAGTCACTCCCTACATGACGACCAAACGGCTAACTGAACGGTGCTTGGCCCTACGAGGTCATCCCCCTTGTTAAGTGTGTGTGTGTGTAATTTGTATTATTAAAGTAAAACCTGCTTATTCTGAAGAAAATTAAGATAGGTGAAATGTGGTTGGGGAAATAACGGACATGGAATCCACTGTTTGCATCAAAAACATCACCTGCTTCTGAATACCCCTAGAGCCAGGGAGCTCACCCCCTGCCCAAGAGTCTGCAGGCAGAACCCAGAGGCCTCGAAACACTCCCCCCTCCGCTGGCAAAGAGCAGCGCACAGAGCCCCCGCGATCCTGGCAGCAACTCCCCCCTCCCGCCGGGGCCAGTGCTGGGCCGCCCAGCTCCCAGCAGCTTCCTCAACACCCACCAGCTGCGGCCTCGCCCTTCCGCCCG